CATAAGGTCACTCCAGATGGAATAATCAAATGGAGAACAAGCCTATCTCAGTGACAGTATATCTTAGCAAGCGTTTAAAAATGTCGAGGGAAAGAACCCATATTTAATGCGCGGGTTACAATAAATATCGGTTCTACGATACTTAATATTAGGGCTCGAAATAGAATTAATATTCTAATATATAATACGTGTAGTGACCCCATGAGGTTATGTACATAACCGACTGTACAATGAATGCTTTTGATCGTGACGAGATTTGATTATTGATGGAATTGTGAATCCAAAAATAATGGTCTCACCTCTAACACTCCTGTATGACACAATTGTTTAAAGTCTTGGTTTACTTATCTTCCAGCTATATGGCAGCGGTCTGGCAATCAAGTCTGGTCCAGACAATCCATTGATGAACAGCATGAGCATCGATCTACGCCATTGGGATACGGAGTCAGTGAGTCTGACCACACGACCCTGTTAGTCGCCTCTTACGACAAGTATTGGTTGCTGAATACCAATTCTAACCCGGATCTTCACGGGTCTGTGAGCACAAGGGAAAATAATGCAGTTCAGGGACTGTGAGGCAGACTACTGTACTTCTGGTATACGATGGCGGTCTAAAACAAACCAGAGAATAACGTCCGGGTAAAACAGAATTCACTCTACCTGTGATCATGCTTGCAACAATCAGCGGAAGTACAAGCATGTTCCACATCCTCATGAATGTATCCCCTGGGAGACTGATGAGAAGGATGGTTTCCGGGGAGAGATGCAGCTGACGAAATAGCAACCCGATGGTCACGCCGATGATTGCAGAGATGACGGTTAGGATGAGCAGGATGTTGGCCTTCAAACAGGTCTTTAACGCCATCTTGAAAAGTAGAATACCCTAGGTATAGTTGAAGTATCATCGAAACGTTGCGTAAGAATCGTTATGAGAGTTTCCTATATTGTTATACGTGTGTGTTTGTCACTTATAGTAATACAATCATCGTCTTGGATATTACTGATGTCATGCATCGAATGGCCTCATTGTTTCTATTTAATCACGATGCAGTGTATTACATATGCTATGTTTGGGATTGAGAAAGTGTAATCCCAAATGTAATATTACCTCAAGCTTGCAAAAACGCATTGTAGCTTTACATTCATGAGCGATGTGTTTTGAAAAATCTTCTGGCATTGACTAAAGACTATTATGGACGTTTTGCAAGATTCACACGCCTCGTGCTTTCTTTTCATTCGTTTCACAATTTTGAATAAATTATATTTGATAAAAAAGTATTTTCCTTTCACGTGTTCAAGTTTGCAAACCGCCCCAAGTATCTAGAACAGAAAACCACAATTATATGATTTCAAGTTGTTTTTCTCAGTGAAAGGACAGTTTTGGGCCTCTGCTTCAAGACAACCATTTTCCCCAGCAAAAGGGGAGCCTGACATTTTTGATTTTCGAGAAATACGTTTTAAGGAATCTTGCATGTCAAGCAAATGTCTGTTTTTTATAAACGTGAGTCAAAACTGCAACCTCTGCGGACATATTAATAGTTTAGGTGGTTAACGGGTCATTTCACCCCAAACACGTTCACCCCAGCACAGTTTCACCCCAAGTCATTTCACCCGGGTTGTTTAACCCCATACAGTTTCACCCCATTTAGAAGTTGTTTCACCCCAGTCATTTTTTTTTACTATTTTCAACTATAAAAGTGTTTCGATATTTTATTGATCTATGTATAGTGTCGAAACATTATGTTCAGATTGTTGGAATAATTATATATATCTATATGACATCGTGTGTCATTCATATTGAATAAGACGCCGTAGTTTACCATCACGAAATAAGGTGAATGTCCTTTTATGACATTCATTCCCATTTCCTCTGTAACCATTCATGGTGAGCTAGCTTCCTGTTCGTATCAACAAGGAAGCCAGTCCCTGCTGATTCCGATCGCAAAACCGGTCCTTGCTGAGGTTACTGCGCATAATAACAAGAAGACCAGTCACTGGCACTGGTTATCCTCGTCCTACCAAGTTTCATTATCAACAAATGTGGATGTTCTTTGCACAATACTTTATTCTCTGGCATAATAAACATTTCATGACAGTGAATAGTATAATTCGTACGATAATAGGGGTCCACATAAAACTGTCAAACACGGAATGACTAGCTTCATGCTGCTGGTGTCGGAAATCGACAAGTCATATCTGGTTATATTTAACTGATACAATACTGATATTGGGATATAACTGATATATACACATGTTCAGAATATAACAGAAATATACAGCGTGACAGATAGCCACATATACAGCGGATGAACACGTGACCATGTGATGCAAAGGTATGAAACGTGATCACAATATTGCAGTTGTTATGCTATATACAACAGCTGTGCGTGTTTGTTACAGGTGAAATTTACAACTTCCCATGATAATGATGAAAATTAAGTAATGTGTTCAGACAGGCATGAGCCTGTTCCCGTTGACATATACATGTATATCAAATTTGTATTTTCAGCTAAAATGTGAAACACGAAAAAGCCAGTGAACCATACCCCATCAATTATCATGTTGTTTTAGCGTATCACTGGCCTAGTGTTTGTATTACATATTCATTCCTCTACATTATTAAACATGATTTCTTTGTAGTGCCTCATGTATGTATATATATATCCTGATACTCCCTACCATTCACCTGATGAAGGAGCAAGCATACACTCCGAAACGTCGTGTTATTCAGAATAAAGACGTTGACATCCATATATCTTGCTTTTCTTATACAAAACTTTTGTTTCAAATACACTACTTGAATTACTTTCATTTGTAACTGAAAGCTGTCAAAACTTTTACATACATAATCTAGCATTGCACAATAATTTATAAAAATTGCCAAACAAATTGCCTTGTCAAAACTTTAGGGCAACTGCGATTGTTAACTGCGTTCGTTGAGGTTTCCAGCAACACAGAAACAGTAGCATGTACCTGGTTGTTGTAAAACCATTGCCTACTGACCAAAGTCGCGACCCAGCAGCGCTCGTTGAATTCTTAGGAAAGAAGCTTCAACTGTTCTTTGCTCTGTCACGTGTAATAGCCTTTATATGTAAATAAACATAAGTTGGGTGAAGTCATAGATCCCTTTTTCACACACCCTTGTTTATTTAAAAAAATCAAATTAAATAGACTAAATTAATGTTGATAATCATAAATGAAGGCATTCAGACATCTGACCACTGTAATGATGGCGTAATGCACTCATTCTGTAAGTTGAATTCTGAGATCTAATTTTGGTAGTGTTGGGTGAGTAATATATAAAATACTAAATGATGCCCTGTGTAACACCATATTTATGAAACTCGTGAATGGTATTGGTATCTAACTCGCTTTTGCTCGTTAGAGACCTAACCATTCACTCGTTTCATAAATATGGTATTACACGGAACATCGTTTTATATTCTCTATGTATCCCGTTAAACCTCTGTTTGTATGTATGTGGACTTCAGCGTGTCTCTCCAACAATAAAACTATAGTTCCATCAAACGATCTTCTGAATGGTATTCAGCTCTGGAAACCATAAAAAACAGGCCATTTTGAACGGGAGCATTTGTCGTTCCAACTGAAAAATGCTTCAAACAATATACACGATTCAAAAATAAATGTTTAGTTTTAAAAATTAATGATGTCCTTACCTTTTGGTTAACTCAGCATCGACTGATTACAATAACTACCAACAGAGGATGTGCCCAACATGGAACAGTGATTAAACCCAGACAGCATAAATTTGCATGATGGTGTCACATAGGAATAAGGAGACGTGTCGAGAATGCAAATGTGGTTAAATCCTGAGAGCCGTACAGCATTAATACATATGCTCACAGCTAAGCCTATAAGATTCAATATAAGTTCGGATTAACTCAAAAAGCCACACACACAGCCCATTTCATGAAGTTACGAACAGTGTTAACTTCTTGTTGATGTAAATGCGGACGTTTTCAAGTATTCCACATCATTTGATACTATTTACACGCATGCCTTGTTCGGGGACGTTTTGAAATGAAGAGAGTACGAATTATAATGGCAGGTTTGTTTGTTTGTTGTTTAACGCCGAACTCAGCAATGTACCAGCGGCAGTGTGTACATAATCGAGTCTGGACCAGACAATCCAGTGATCAAAAGCATGAGCATCGATCTACGCAATTGGGATACAATGACAAACAAGTCAGCGAGCCTGACCACCCGGTCCCGTAAGCCGCCTCTTACGACAAGCATGGGTTACTGAAGATCAATTCTAACTCGGATCTTCACGGGTCTGTAGGAAGAAGGGAAAATAATACAGCTCAGGGACTGTGAGTCGTTGACTACTGTGGTATACAATATCGTTCTTAAACAAACCAGAGAATAACGTCCGCTGTCCCCGTGACCATGCTTGCAACATTCAGCGGAAGTATTACCAGGCTCATTCAAGACCAATTCTAATCCGGATGTTCACGGGTATATAATGGCAGGTAAGGTGTAACGGTACAACAACACAGAGCCAAACTGTTGATATTTCCATATGCGCACAACTTGGAGTGATTTTGACACCTTATTTCAAACTATAGTTTCAAACGTTTAACGCCAGTTTGGCATATATATGAAACACTAAGAGAAATACAAGGCGAAACAATTCAATGTATGTCAATTAATTTCTTTTATTGGCCATATAGATGTATTAAAACACTATTTTTCACACAATATGTGAATCACTGATGGTCAGTGTTATCACGCCGGGGAACAAGCGTGAGTGAGTAAGTGTGAGAGTGAGTTTAGGATTACGCAGCTTTTAGCAATATTCCAGCAACATAACGACCCGGATCCAAGGCGTGACGAGCAAACGCTTTAACCACCAGACTACCCCACCGTCCCCATGACAACTGAACTGGAGATTAACGTTTATTGTTCTTCGACGGCATATCGTCATGTGGTGAAACGTCTTTCTGAGGATAATACAACTGTTTACAACTTTCCACGTTCAATTAAAGTGACAGAGCTTCCTCCATCTCTATCTCGTCCTGTGGTAGTGGGTTATTATCATATCCCGAACCATTGCTGCCATCCTGGTGGAAGAAGTGCTGGAGAATAGCGGCGCCCATACAGTCTCCATTCACATTAGTGATAGTCCTCATTCGCCCGCTGAAACACCAGAATATGGAAAATGTCACCGTCCACAAGAATGAAACACGTTAGGCCACAAACAGGCTATTTGTTTATGGAGTGAATTATGCAGGTAAAAAAGGATACGATATTTCAGACTATTTTGTGTTTACAGGTGGTGTTTAGTTGACAGTGTTTGTCATAAACAAATTGTAACCTATTGTCTTGTAGCTTAACGTACTCAAGGTTTGAATTACACAAATAGCACCTGTCAGATTTCATCTATGTTCGATTTTTACAACAAGAATGAGTCTGGAATCCAATACAAAATAAACGTCTGGACACATACAGGAATGCACAAGGTATCGACGTTCGTAGATTATATTGAATGAAAGCATGTGCAGTCATCTTGAGAAGCATTTCAAACATAATCATCGAATACTGTATAAATGTATGATAGAAATATTTGGCATGTATTCAATAGACATTGAAGACATAAAACAATCAACATCAAACAGTATGACTATGGGTGTGTCATTTTAAGCTGCAAATACTCACAGAAACCAATCCATGGCAAAAATGATGGAGATTTCGTTCGTTGGCAGTCCCATATTGGCTAGAAAAACCATGATGGTTACTATAGCAGCATTAGGTATACCAGCGGTCCCAATGCTGGTGAGGGTGGCAGCCACGCTGAAATGATATCATAAATAGTTTTCTCAGCAATTTGCATTTCGCATCTGATTTTAATTCTGTTATGTGTTGCATGATCACTGGTGATCTTTAACCAATGGGCAAGATCTTACTTTGGGCTACTATAGATAGCGAAGTTTCCCATTTTATCTATCCTTCTTCCAGCTTCTGCATTCAACTTCTGATTGGGTCTGTTGTTGTACGGTCATCGTTGATTATAAAATTGACCAGTACCCATTTGCTTCCATTTCTACGTTTGGAAAGTGACGTCACTATCTCTGTCCCTCCCCAAATCGCTCTCGTAAATGGGGTGGTTAGGCTTGCTGACTTGGTTGACAAATGTCATTGTATCCCAATTGCGTAGATCGATGATTGTGATGTTGATCACTGGGTCGTCTGCTCTAGATCCGAATATTTACAGACTATTGCCATATAGCTGGGATATTGTTGAATGTGGCGTTAAACAACAGACTAACGATTTGTATGTAAAAACGCATTTACCCAAGAGCCAAGACGTCAAGTACAGACAGGTGCACTCCACTCATCTGTGCTATATAAACTGGAGTGACGACTTGGACGATGGCAGCTCCATCCATGTTAACAGTAGCACCGATAGGTAGCACAAACCGGCTGATAGTTCTGTCTATCTTAAGATTCTTCTCACAGCAGTCGATGGTAACCGGAAGTGTTGCAGCACTGACAAATATAAACAGGATCCTTCACTACCATTCCCTGCAAACTCTTTGAAGATGAATACGTTGTTCACTGGTCCCTCGGGGCCCATGGGTTGATGTACCCTCGATGTTTCTTTATGTTCATAAACAAATATCGAAGGTGCATCAGCCCATGTCCCCGTCGAAACCAGTGAACAACTTATAATGGCAAGTGTTCTCTGTTTTAAGTTCTTTGCCTCGAAGTTTCAATTATCGATTTCAACCAAGTTGTATGGGATAATAAGTCTTTTATTGCATCAATAGGAAGCTAAAGTGAGTACATATGCCCCCAATACATTTATTATAGGCCAAAATATTGTCGAAAATGTGTGAAATTGTGCCTTTAAATATTTACAATACTTTGATCACCGGACCGTAAACACAATACATTGTATATTCATCTATTCATAGAACTCCGTTACGTATCGCTATATTCAATAATTGATTGCAAACCTTGAATTGGTGCCCAGAGCTGTCAGAAGAGCCTGCACTACTCCCAACGTCACCTTAAAAGGGTTCTTCCGTGTCAGAATGAGGTATATCAGTGGTATTACTACAACAGTTTGCACAAAAAGACCGGCGATGCATGTGGCTAAGAACATCCCTATGTGATGAACCATCCCAGCGAGATCAGACACACTCAAGATCTTTCCAGCGATTAGGGACAGTACGCCAATAGGCGTTAACCTGTAACAGAATATGGTGTGCGATAGCTGAGTGAGTGAGTGAGTGTAACATCACGGAAGGGGACACAATATGGGCTTACCATGTGGAGAATCGAAACCTGGCCTCGAGCCAACGTTTTAACTACCAGTCTACCCAACTGCCTTTTTAAGTATATGAAATATTGTAAACATTTTAGATTTTCAATAACTGAACTGTTAATGATTAGACGTTTTTATATTCTTAAATCATGCAACTGACTTGCATATCTGTCAGGGTAAATGAAATGAATATTTACAACGCTTTTAATGAAATTATCATGCAATGGTTACAAATCAAATGCACAAATATACGTACGTCGCCTGCGTAGGTTTAGACACTGGTACGTGAATTATTCACTGGATATATAGGTCACTGAGCCGGTGAGTTTCCGTTCTGTTACACTGAGTTTCCGCAATAACGGAAACGTACAATTACCCAATTTCTAAGGCTTTCCGCAAGGTTTCCGTTACCCACACTCCAGCAGGTTTCCGCAAGATTTCCGTTACCCACACTCCAACAAGTTTCCGTTGAGTTTCAGTTAACTTTGAATCCATCAGGTTTCCGCAAGGTTTCAGTTATATAGACTCCAACAGGTTTCCGCAGAGTCTCAGTTACCAACAATCCGACATAGTTTCCGCATAGTTTCAGTTACCGGTTTCAGTTTCAGGTTCACAGGTTTTCATGTGCGTTTCAAAGAGCCAAATTTAAACATTCTTCTTTATTCATATCATAAACTCTTCTTAAAAACAATATAAGCAATTATTATTATCATGACGTTTACTTAAAAATGATATACATCATACAATAACACAACATACAGCTTGCAATACAAAAATAAAATAAAATAAAAATTACATTATGAAATTTAAAATAAATTCAATTAAATTGCAAGAGTTGGTCAGTTAGCCCACTTAGGGGCATCCCTGTGCGGAGATCCCTGTTACTTAGGTTGGATGCCTCGTCCTCGTGTTGGCCTTGACGAGAGAAGTGGAGGTGTAGATTCTTTCCAAATCCAGTGTCGTCGTGTATGCCCTAAGCTTGCTGGACTCCCAGACAAAGGGGACGGAATGCAACTAATTGACATCATCTTCGTCACTCACGACAGGTGATGTCATGTCTATGGTGAGTGTTGGCCAATCGATAGATGCAAGTCTGTTGAGGCATTGCGCAAGTTTCTGAAAATGGCAGGTAATAACGAATTACTAGGTTATTTTGATAAATTACACAAACATCAATGGATGATTTAAAATGAGTAATCCAAAAGGAAGTTTGAATAAAAGAGAACTAAATTGAACAATCACACTTTGCACTGGTTTTCTCAAAACTCAAATTATGCAAGTCATCACACTTCATTGACCGAATGAAATATCTTATTTTCTAAAGAGGATACACAATCTATACAAAATTTGCTCTGGAGTTACATGCTTCCCAGACCAGAGGTAGTAATACGTTATATATATATCTGAAAATTTATTGCATTTTCTATATGGTAATAATGGTACTAGTGATAGATTTTCATCAAATTGCTATGTTCAAACTCTTACAATTCGTATTGTTGAGCCAATTTATGGTGTCCCCCGCCGTGATGTTGCTGGAATATTGCTAAAAGCGGCGTAAAACCAAACTCAGTCAGTCAGTTGTATTGTTGAAGGCACAAGTATATTCACCCAGTAGAGACTGTATGTTTGAACCATTAAGTCTTTGGGGTGTATATAGACGTGAATAATACAAGACATGAATGTTTACGGATGTCTACGTCTTTATTATATGAAATAACACGTTACGGAGTGAATGCTTACAACTGAAGAAGGGGTAAACATTCACTCTGAAACATGTTTTCACATAATAAAGGAGTTGACATCCATAAACCTTGTCTCTACACTATTAATTGGAAATTATTTACTATTTTATAATGAAAGTCACTACAGATAGGTCAAAATTACCTTCACATGTTCCTGCTGACCATCCTTGGTCATTCATTATTCTCCAGACTCATCATCAGCTTTGCTGAAAAAAATAAACAATAACACGTTACTTTTCTTTGCATTTCCCCATTCATTCATTCGAGTTTTAAAAAACCCTCAAACAATTGCAATTGCAGCGACATTTATACCAACAAGCAAACTACGTACAGATTTATCACTTCAGGTTATGCAATCAGTAAGTGAAGGGCCTGACATAAACATCCTGATGAATGGAGTTTAGTTATCTCATGTGACATAACCTTGGAGTAATTACGGGATTGTAAAATCAAGGGGTCAGTTTGATTGTAATTTCACACAGGTGTGAAGTTAAGCTTTATTTGGCCCAATTTGAAATCATGATTAAGTTACCGGTTATTCAAATCCATTGGCAACTGTAACCTTAGTTTGGTTCATTTTGTGAAAATGTATCTAGGGAAGCATAATAATAAAATATTCAAAGTGAAATTATGTCTATGTTTCGTAGTACCATAAACACATACCTTCAGTATGCGAGGGTGATCTTTTCCTCCAGGAGTAGTCGTGACACATGTTTCCTCACAACAGCCTAAATGAATAAAACAAATCCATTAATATTTAATCTGTTTGCTATATTTTTCAAAATTGTAGTATATTTTTCGATAGACTTATTTTACTTCACCAACCTTTGAAAATAGTTCGGGCAAAACTGTTTATACAGTCATGGGACTTAAGTATACGTCAGTTGGCAAAATTCTCATAGACTTGCAGGCTGTTTTAGTGTAGCTGTGTAATTTTCAATAATTCAGTTTTCCATATTTGTTTTTCAAATTTTGCAGGTTGTTAGGAAATCATCTTGGTCACTGATACATAATTTCCTTCAAGTATTTTCCGCATTGTAGTTACATGAGCAACATATATACAACACTGCGTATTCTTTCCCCATAGACCGCCATGTTAAAAATTGCCATAACCATGACATGCATCAATCAAAGTGTGGTCATTCTTGAAATACTGAATTGAAAATAAAACGGTAATTATGTCTTTGTAGCTGAGATGATTCATGACCCATGTGCAAAATATGAACAATATCAAACGGATATTAAATAAATTCAAGACATTTTTCTAGCTGCACCAAATTAACATGTAAACCTATAGAAATAATGCATAGTGACGAATGCCTATGGCCAGTGACTGTAATTCGATAGATTAGCTTGTTTACCAATCCGGATTTCTGTACATTACGTAAATAATTCATTAAAATAATTCATTAAACGTTATTTGACAACAAAATAAATTGGTCTTACCTGACAGGGTCGTGGTACTGCGAGTTTTTGCCGCCATTTCCATCTTTCTTTTCCAGGTGGCGAATTCTCTCTTCCAGTGCTTTGAAAATGGCGTCTCGCAAAGACTCACGAGAAAAACACTTTGTTGTTGTTTTTTAATCTTAATCTAACATTACAGTTTGACCATGTCTTTCCGCGTTATACAACAAAATAAACATACACTATACACATAAAATGTCAGCTGTGTGTTTTTATAATGATTTAGGTAGTCTCGGTGGACGTTATCCGGTCGCCATTTTTTTATTTGTTTACATT